GGGGGTTGGGGGAGACATGGGGGGGCACAAGGACATGTGGGGGACACGGGGGGGACACAGGGGTGTCCCTTTGCCCACGCGCGTGTCACCCCGCGCCAGCCCGGAGGAAGGTGATGAAGGTGACGATGAGGAAGGTGACGGTGACACCGGAGGCGCCCCCGGGGGGGGTCCCGCGGGGGGTCCCGGGGGGGTCGTGGCCCCCCCCCGAGCGCGGTTCTCGATGCTGCTGGAGCCGCTGGAGCCGCCCGAGCTGGCGCTGCTGCTGACACACCTGGAACACCGAGCGTTCAACCGGCTGCGGGTGGGACACCTGGGACACCTCGGGACACGCCTGGGGACACACCTGGGGACACACCTGGGGACACCTGGGACAGCTGGGGACACAGCTGGGACAGCTGGGGATACCTGGGGACACCCCTGTGTGACACCCGCCCCCCGCCCCGTCACACCCCAGGGCATCCCCTCCCGCACGACCTCCCCGATGTCCCCCCATCCCAAATCTCCCTGATGTCCCCAATGTCCTCCATGATCCCCAATGTCCCAAATGTCCCCGATGTCCCCTCTGTCCCCAGCTTTGTGATATCCCCTGACACCCCCCGATGTCCCCAATATCCCCTGACACCCCCGCTGTCCCCTCTGTCCCCAGCTGTGTGACATTCCCCGATGTCCCCTGACACCCTCCGCTGTCCCCTCTGTCCCCAGCTGTGTGACATTCCCCGATGTCCCCTGACACCCTCCGCTGTCCCCTCTGTCCCCAGCTGTGTGACATTCCCCGATGTCCCCTGACACCCTCCGCTGTCCCCTCTGTCCCCAGCTGTGTGACATTCCCCGATGTCCCCTGACACCCTCCGCTGTCCCCTCTGTCCCCAGCTGTGTGACATTCCCCGATGTCCCCTGACACCCTCCGCTGTCCCCTCTGTCCCCAGCTGTGTGACATTCGCTCCTTCGCGCGCTCCGCGGGCACGCGCAGCTCTGTGTCTCTCCGCCGCTTGGTGGCGCTGTCCAACGGGCTCTCGCGCTGGGTTCAGCTGCGCGTGCTGCGCCCCCTGGCGGCTCCGCAGAGAGCGGCGGCGCTGGGGCAGTGCCTGCACCTGGGACAGGTGAGAGAGGAACCGACCCCTGACCTCCCAACTGACTCCCCACACTGACCCCTGACCCCCGGACTGACCCCTGACCCACAGCCCTGGGGCAGTGCCTGCACCTGGGACAGGTGAGAGAGGAACCGACCCCTGACCTCCCAACTGACTCCCCACACTGACCCCTGACCCCCGGAACCGACCCCTGACCCCCCGAACTGACCCCAGGACTGACCCCCGGACTGACCCCTGAGCCCCCGGACTGGCCCCCAAACCGACCCCCCGAACTGACCCCTGACCCTCAGCCCTGGGGCAGTGCCTGCGCCTGGCGCAGGTGAGACCCCCAACCCATAAACCCTGACCCATAGAACCGACCTACAGACCCATAAAACCGTTCCACAGAGCCCTGCCCCACAGCCCCTCCCCCTCAGCCGCCCCCCAGCCCCCCCACATCTCCCCCCCATCTCCCCCAGAGCCTCCTGGAGCTCCGAAACTTCAACTCCCTCCTGGCCGTGGTCGGGGGGCTCGGCCACGGCTCCATCGCGCGGCTGCGCCGGACCCTGGCGCTGCTGACCCCTCCCCTTATCCAGGTGCGGGTCCTGGGGGCACCTGGGGGGTCCCGAAGGGGGCACAGGGGGGTGCTGGGGGCACCTGTGGATTCTGGGGGGTTCTGGTGGGGCACGTGGGGGGGTCTTGGGAGGGTTCTGGAGGGGTCCGGGGGGTGTTCTGGGGGGCACATGGGGGTGTTGAGGGGTATCTGGGGGGTCCCGGGGGGGTCCCGGGGGGCACAGGAAGGTCTGGGAGAGTCCTTGTAGGGTTTTGGGGGGGGGGGCACAGGGGGACGGGGGGGGCCCGTCACCCC